TTTGGAACCTAACCATGTCGATAACTGAAGAGTGGGTGTATAAACTTACCAGTTTAGAATTGTACTTAAACTTTCCTCACTGCCTAATTCACTTTTGGCAGCAAGATTGGTTCAGTTCTTGGAAAAATGTATCAGGTCTTTTGGACCAATAGTAGGGCCAGTTGGTTCAGTCCATTAAAAATGAGTGATCAATAGGGAGCCTTTAAATTCACAGCTCTGAGGAACTTCCATGCCCCATTATAACCATTTACTAAGTTATGCAAATACTTCTAATGCAGATTTAAAGTTGAGAGGCAAAAAGCTATCCCTAGAACACAGGTGCTACGTGAAAAATTACTATTTATTACTGTTTTATACTTGCGACCTTGCCTGTATCCTTCACTATACCTTGAGTTACTTAAGGCTAAGACTGTGCCTTTGTGTTTCATTGTATCCCTAGTACTTTACAGAGGACTTGCCACTTGCTAAGTTCTATATAAATATTGTGGATGAAGAAATGAATGAATAGATGAATATAAGGTAACAATTTAATTACAGTGTAAGAGATTTGGATCTGTGTTAATAAGACTGAAAATGTACAGAACATGTTTGTCATACCTTCCTCTTATAATAAGCAGTTGCATCTCCAGCATGTCGGCCTGGTGGGGTACTTGGCATTCTCTGCCTTTATTACTGCCGCTGCACTCCCCAGAATCACGAAAGCATTCTTCCAAGTTCATGTAGGGGATTCAGACCTGTACGCCTTCCCCTCAGGGACTGAGGATTTTGAGTTGTTGTTTTTCACCAAGTCTCTGTGTCTTCTTTGAAGACTGTTGTGATCTGAAATGTGGAGAAGTCACTTCAAAGAGGTGTTTAGCTCACACTCCCCAATCCATATAATATCTTTGGCTTTTGTAGGAAGTTATTTTCCGAAGTGCAAACTTTTAAGCTTATCTAAGGCTGAGAATTTCAAAAAACAATAAAATGTTAAGATTGTATCTGTCTTGTATCATTCTTGTTATTTATAGATTCTCTCAGCAAGTTGTTTTGAGCTTGTTGACAAGTTAAAAGGTAGAATTGCAGTGATACTTACTAGAAAAAAAAATCTCTTTGTTGTACATAATTAAACAAAAAGTGAAGCCATAGCAAACATCTCAAAATGCTTGGCCTGGAGGTAGAAAGTTGTCATTGCTTCAGGTTGATGTGAATGGGAAATGTTGTCCTTTTATCATTTGAAAGTTTCTCGGTATGGTTCACGAAAGTACATTTGTACGATTTACACATGATCACTCACAAAGTTCTCAAACAACAGGTTTAAGATATTTTTTATTCTAACATTGTTGACTTGCATTTCCTGTTAAATTCCCTTTGGACATGTCTCACAAAAGTCTGAGTGTCAGATGCAAGTGTGTTTAGTTCTAAGCCCTGCATGCTGAGCAGCTTGTCAGTAAAGTCGTGTTCAAAAGTGGAGATACCACCAGCCTGTGAATGAGAGATCATCTCCGTGTGCGAGTGATTAGCTCCATTTTCTGAGACAGCAGTGGCGCTTTCTCATGCATGTTTTGAAATGCATCTTAGTACTGAGCTAAAGCAAACATTTGGCAGGCAGAGTTTGGCTTTTGGTTCTCTAGGTTATGATTTTGTCAAATGTCAGTGGTTTGCGCTGGCTCCTTTGTGCTCTCTGTACTGGTCTCTGGTCAGCAGCCCAGATTTTTCCTTATAACAAGAGCAAGCTGGACTCTGGTTTCATCTCCCTGGAGGCCAGAAAAACATACAGTTTCTCATTTGCTTGATTTTCACTTTCAAGACAAGGACTTACCCTACCACTAGTGATGAAGAGAGTATGGTTCTCCCCCCTGCCGCTGAGAGCTGCATGAAAGCAGATGTTGAAAGATAAAGTTTCATAATGGAGAAGTGTCTTAATTTCTGTGATATTTGTGTCAAGTTTTTAAGAACGTGATACTCTCTAAGAAATTTGCAGACCTAAGTAGAGATTAGTTTATATGGTTTAACATTTCTTAAACCATATGTCCATACAAGGACTTTTAGGGGGGAAAAAAAAAAAGTACATTATTTGATACAGATGCCTGTGCTGCGTGGAAAGCAATGGTGTTCTTCTGCGTTTTGGTTATAGCCAGGGTCAACAAACTATGGCCCGTGGGCCAAACCTGGCCGGCTGCTGTTTTTATAAATAAATTTTATTGGAATGTAGCTATGCCTATTTATTTATGTAGTGCCTGTGGACACTTTCGTGCTACAAAGAGAGTTGAGTAGTATCAACAGTCGCCATATGGCCTGCAAAGCCTGAAATACTTACTTTCCGGCATTTTACAGGAAAAAAAAGTTTGCAAAATCCTGGGTTATTGCATAGCATTAAGTGAATGTGTCTCCAAATCTGACTCCATTACTAGCTTTTGGAATTATGGGCAAGTTATTTAACTCCTCTAAATTTCAGTATCCTAACTGATGTAATGTGGGGGATCCTGAGGGTTTTTTTTAATTAGCTAGTATATTTAAAGCCAGCACTGTTCTTATCCTGCAGATATTGTGATGGGACCATATAAAACACTTAGCATAGTGTCTGCTGCATAGAAAGCAGTTCACTAAACTAGCTGTCAAGTCAAAATCCCTGCGGCAGCGTATGGAGCGTAGGCTCTGGAATCCGAAATTCCTGGGTTTGTATTTTCGATCTGCTTTTTACTAATTGAATGATCTAATTAGTTTACCTTTATCTTCTTCACGGTCTTCATGGGTAAACATTAATAATAGTGACTTAACACGGTTATGATGATAAACTGAGATAATGTGTAGAGTGTTGACACATAAGATGTTCTCAGTAAATTTTCTCTCTTAGTGTTATTGCTTTATGTTGGAAGGAGCGGGATGAGAGCTGGCAGTGGAGATGTGGGTATTTGCATGGCGCACTCCCTTTCTATTTCAGGTCTTTGCTCAAACGTCACTTTTTCAGTGACAGTGAGCCCTTTCCTGACCACCCTGTTTAAAAGTACAATCTTTTTTCCACGCTGGACTCCCTATTTCTCTTCCCTGCTTGAGTTTTCTCTGCACAACATCTCACTATGTGACATACTCTATAATTTGTTTATTGTCTGTTTCTCCCTTCCTGTGTGAGTTCCATGAAGATAAGGATTATTTTCTGTTTTGTTCACTGATATGTTCTTGGTGCCCATAACAGTGTCAGGTACATGGTAAGTATTCGTTAAATATCTGATGAATGAAGGAATGGAGCCCAGAAGGCCTTATATGGCCAGAGAAGCACTCTGCTCAGTTTGGGTTGGGGCCAGTCTGGGGTTAGAGGTGCATGTTACAAGTAACCTCATAAACATGAACAGCCATCATGGTTGGGCACAGTAATGAGAGCAGTTATACAATCATCAGCGACTTTTAGAAAATCTTGATACCTTTAAGGTTGAAAATGGGGAGTTGTGGTAGTGGGAAGAGATTTTTTTTATTATTATTATTTTTTTAATTTTTACACGAGTGGCTTTGTGTTCTGGCCTGTCCCAGGCTTCTGCAAGGTTCTTGTGTCTATCCAGTACAGCACCTCGGGTGGGGGCATGGGGAGCGGCTCCGGCTCTGCAAACTGTCATCGCCCAGTGGTGAATAATGTGGTGACTCCCTTTGACCAAACAGTGAACCCTAAAACTTTAAAGAGATGGACCAACTGACTTATGGGACTTGAAGTGTGAAATTGAGGGCTTTAGCTTGGATTGATAGTCAGAAACCTCAAGTATTTCTTTCTTCTTTTTCAACCCTTGATAACAAAGCACAATCATTTAAAAAATGAACAAGAAGAAAGTTTAAAAAAAAAAGAAGTTTTTTCAAAGGAGTTGTATTTAGGAATGAGAATATTCAGATATTTCCTTTTATAAGACCCACCTCGCTCAGTAGACTGGATACTTTGAGGGCAGGGCCTGTATTTTATTCTTAATTGCGTTTTTAGTGCCTGACATATTGCCAGGCACAAAATAAAGAATGAGTGAATGAACGATTGCATAGATAAATGGTCTAGGTTCATATTTGCCTGCTTGAAGCGTTAGTTTCTGACTGTAATGTAGGATTTCTTTATGGGAGGCTTCTTCACTGTTAAGATATTTTTAATAGTGTATAGTTATTATCTTTGGAAGTTTGACTACGATGCACACAGTAATAATGTGTACAGACTAAATGTGTGTGTTCTAAGGCCCATAGGCAGACAGGAACCGCCTCTCTGGGTGTGTAGGTGATGCAGGGAACCTCGTTCCTTCCATCCGCCAAGCCAAAGGCTTTTCAAGACACAATAGTGATATGCTAAAATCCCGTCCATTCAGATAACATGTGGACTTCTTTGTGCTTGTCAGGAGAGCTGGGCCTTAGTCAGCAAGAGAATCATATCCATACAGCATCTCTATGATGAGCTCCAAGCTCAGAGGCTCAGCTCAGGAGTCTGCCTATAGGTGGATTTTCCTTTAGCGTAAGAGCTTTGGCTGGTCAGAGTGGGGGGCACATGCTAGGCACACATCCCTGGTGACAGAGATCAGTGTCCTTGGTGACCAGCATCCTTTCCAGGACCTGCTAGAGAATTCTCAGGGGCTGTCCCTTACAAAACTGTGATGTGACTTCAGGAAACTCCAACATCTTCCACTGTTGCAGCATAGAATCCAGATTTGACCACATGGTGCTGATAGGGTTATATACAGTGCGAGTGACTTGGTGGAGCGTTGGTAGGAGGACCCAGTCAGGAGCTGAGAACACACTGGTGGGACTTCTCATGATGCCTGAGCTACTGAAATCTGGGGCCATTTTAGTGCATGACATGAACCTATTATTCTGCTCTCTAATGTCAAAGAACTAGCAAACGTGCTAGAGTGGTCCTTTAGAGAGATAACATGAAATGGGAGTTTATGTTTGTTTCTGTAGCATAGGACACACTTTATTCGAAAATTAGTTATTTGGGTTAAAATTGTTGGGGGAAATCCATTGCACTCTCAAAGTAATCCTGTGTCTTCCATCCTGTTTTCCAGCATGGGCTACTGCATCCTTTTTGTGCATGGATTGAGCAAGCTCTGCACATGGCTGAATCGATGTGGGGCCACCACCCTAATTATATCCACTGTGCTGCTGCTGTTGCTTTTCTCTTGGAAAACTGTGAAACAGAATGAAATTTGGCTGTCAAGAGAGTCCCTATTCAGGTATGAGGAGGAGGATAAAAGTGAATCTCTTCCTATTTATTTCTTTGTTTACATATCTCCTTCCAAACGAATGAGGTGACATGGGTCTGGTAGTATTTATTAATCCAGAAAATTCTTTTAAGTAATGCTTTGAATGGAAGATTTAATTTACTTTGGGTTTTAACTTTAGTTTTTAAATGATATTATTCAAAAGTTAATATGAGCTAGTTGTACAGTGACTTTATGAAAATTAGTCTCTTGGGAAGGTTTTAGGGTCTGTAAATTCATATGGAAACAATATGAGCTGGGCTTTAAAATCAACTAGAAACAAAATGAAATGAATAAGCCTAATTTCAGTGTTCAGTCAAGTGAATTGGAAAGGTGGACGCACAGAAAGAAGGAAGAGAAATACAGTATGCTTTCTTTAGAAGATTCCAGGATGTTAAGTTGTGGTCTGTGATCTAGTTGCTTTATTTTGAACATAAATTTTGAATGAAGAAATGAAAGGCTTTTCATCTCCTGGTAGGTTTTGATGTGGTAGTTACTGTTTCTGAATATAACGATGTCAGCTTTTAGCTCTATAGTTGAAGCAAAGTAAAGCATTCTTTGGGACTGTCCCTCACCATGTTGTGTGCCTGGGGCTTACTCTATCTCACTAATTCCATCGCTCTGGTGATCTTCACCTGGGCTTTACTGGCACTGCCACACCTTGCACCTCACCCTTATTTGTCCAGTCTCCCGGGGATCTTCCAGCTTTCTCTTCTCGTTTATGGCCAAATTATCCAATTCAATCAACATGGTTTTACTTTGTTCTGTGCTCAGCTAGTACCTGACAGTTATTCCTTGGGGTAAGCAACAAAAACCCAGTTGGAGTCACCTGAGACAAAGGAAATATGTTGGAAGAGTGTAGGAGAGTTGACAGAATTGAAAGAAGCTGAAGAACCTGGCTTGTTAGCAGACAGGTGTCTGTCTCAAGCACCATCACAGGGACAAATGGATGAACTTCAATCAGTTTTTTCTTTCCTCACATCAGAGTCCTGGGGAAAAAAAAGTCATGTTACTGAGCTTGAGCTTAGGTCATATGCCATAGGTCAGGTCACCAAGATGATGGATCTGGCCAAAGAAACTTACTTTGACTCCCATGGTGAGGGTTATGGGACTGGCAGAGCATCTTGGGACTCCATGGAGACTTCACAGAGTGAGATGAGAAGGAATTCCATAGCTGGAAATCCAAAAACCCAACCCAACCCATTGCTGTCAAGTCAGTTCCGACTCACAACGACCCTATAGTACAGAGTAGGACTGCCCCACAGGGTTTCCAAGGAGCAGCTGGTAGATTCGAACTGCTGACCTTTTGGTTAGCTGCCGAGCTCTTAACCACTGCACCTCCAGGGGAAATCCAAATACTGTAAGGAAAAGGGAATGCTTTGAATGGAAGGTGTAATTTATTTTGGGTTTTAACTTTATTTTGGATTGCCAAAAATAAATGCATGATACATGAAGGAATGAATAAGACAACTGTTCAGTACATTCTTTTGCTATTTTAGCGTAACGTATCTGGCTTTACTACTGGGCAGTTTAACTTTTATAACATATAAAATGAAAAAAATCAATTTGATATGCATACTTTATTAGTTTATTGTTACTATATTATTGTCATTATCATGATCATCATCATGTTGATGGATACTGCAGAGGCCTGTTACTGCGTTTATGGGTTTGTTTGTTTTTTAAATGAATTTTTTTTTCCACATAGATCTGTACAACCACGCAACCTGACTTCAGATTCTGTCCAGTCTCTGTCATCCTCCATGTTCAAGGCAGTTCTCAGAGACCACACTGGAGTGGTTCCCTCTTGCTCTCCAGCACTGAGGTCATTCTGTAAACACAGGGGTGTTGGATTCAGTAATATAACTTCTTCCTAGTCTCTTTTGGTTAAATTTTTCATTGTTACTTTCAACATCAGGGATTTTGTAGAAACTTTACAACAATACCACCCTGAATTAAGCCCTTTGCCTGAGAAGCAAACCAGTAACAGCATCTGTGTCTTCTAATGGTATTTACTACTTGATCAAAGTAACTTTGGCAGTGGATTTTGGCAGGCAGCAACTTATTTCAGAGATAACAAGTTGATGTTCAAACCCTCTAAAGCTGATGCCAGCAATTAAAAAAAAAAACTCATTGCATCCAGATTTGCCCTTTCAGATCTAAGTAAGTAGTCGGAGAACAGTTGATTATAAAACACAGCCGTTGCTCGTGTGTGCTTACTTAAAGACACTTTGTGCCCTGAGAGGCCCTTGGTGAGCAAATTAAGGAACTTTGTGTAATGTGCAAAGTAAAGCTATCAATATTTTTTTAGAAAACTTTGCCTATCATATTTTATCTATGTCTTGAGAAAACTTTTTATTATCTGAGACTTAACGAGTATTCTTATTTCATCAAAGCCAGATGTCTGTGCTTATTCGTCTCTGTTGAATAATGTTCAAATCAGTTTAACAACATTGAGAATCTACAGGACAGCACAGGCTTAGGGATTGAGTGTGGGGTCTGGAGTCAGACTTCCTGAGTTCCGCTCCAAGTTCCACCACCAAATAGCTGTGTGATTTTGGCAAGTTACATAACTACTTTGTGCCTCAGTTTCTTCATTTTTAAATTTGGAGAAATTATAGTGTTTATCTCCTGGGTATAGTGTATGGCAAAATACGTATGAAATGCATAAGACAATGTCTGGCATATGGTAAATATAAGGTTTTTAAATTATTGCTGTGAATGAAACACTGCATTCTGGGATATGAGAGAGATTGATTGTCCCTGCTATAGGGGAGCTGGAAGTTTGTATGGGAGTCAGACACACAGTGCATTTCAGTACGACGTAGCAAGTGTTAGGCAGAGGTAGACTCAGGGCACTGTGTAAGACCAACCCAGACCTTCAAAGCAGTTTTCTTGTAGGCCTGAGCTGAGTATTGAAGGACTAGAAAAACCCAAATTCATCATAATGGTCAAAACCAAGAGCTGGCCAAACTGAGATATGTCGGTAGTTTAATTCAGTTGCATATTCAAAGCCTAGCTGCCAATTTTTCCATGACCTGCTTAGAAAAAATAAATAAATAAAATTATAGTAGTTGTAGAGAAGATGATGTTCTTGGCCAAGGCTTCAGTTTTCCCTTCTGTCCCAAATGTAAACTCATCAGCCATTCCTAGGACGTATGTCCCCACTGAGCCCGCTCTAATTAGGTGGTTGGTTTTCCAGGCAATACTATGAGCTATCTTACAGGATATCTTAGGGCAGGCCTTTGTGCTGGAGAAAATATAAATTTCAGTCGAGTTCCAGACTTTTCAGCTGAGGTCTCCTCTCACAAAAAAAATCCCACTGTCTGATGCATTTTTAAGAGAACCAGATGTAGGATCCCCTCATAGATTTGTTACCTTGTGCTTTTATTGGTAAGAACCTAACACTCAAAAAGCACAAAAATCCATCACTTGTGTCAAATCAGAGTCTCAGAGAAGATAAGTAATCTGCCTGTGCTGAAATAGCTCTTAAGGTGAAGATCTGGGATGTGAACCCAAATCTAGTGTAAAAGCCAAAGGACACATAAACTTTGCCACACCTATTTTTTACTTTATATTTTCTAGCCTAAACTAGGCCCAGTATAAACACATATTCATAATCATAGCTTCAATGTCTATTTTAATTCTTACAACAAAAAACTGTTCTGATGTCCTAACATAGGAACAAGATAACTGCGTAATTCTGACTGGGTCTAGTAACAGCCCAGGAGCAATACTAAAATAGCATAATTTGATATAATAACCCCTACAATCTTCAAAATACCTGGAAAGAAAAAAATGGGAATATTTTCTTCTGCATCCAGTTCAGGGTCTCTCAGAATCTCTTCCACAGACTGTTAAAGTGATCTATGGACCGCAGATTAAGAATTTGTGGCCGAGGTCATCCTCCACCTCTGCAGGAGATACGTTTCTTTCTCCTTCTCTCTGACTTGCTAAGTCAGAGGTCAGCATATCTCCCAGGGCAGAAAATGTAAACCAGGGATTGGCAGCTTTTTTAGTGAAGGGCAGAATAGTAAACATTTTAGGCTTTGCAGGCCATGCAGTCTCTGTCACATTTTCTGAGCTCTGCCATTGTATAGGGAAAGCAGTCACAGATAAGATATAAAGAAATGGGCATGGCTGTGGTTCATAAGGTCATCATTTTCTGACCTCTGATATAAACATTGTGATTGTGAAATTTTCATGTTACTAGGATCCTGTGGTACCTCTTTGATTTAGCATCAAACATTGATCAACTTCAGGTATGATTTTGACCATATACTGGCCTTTGTTCAAAGCTCTGCTCAACTACTTACTGGTACTAGATGTGTAACTTTAGTTTCCTTTGTGATTACCTTAAAATTTACCTCTATTTTTCTAAGTTCAAACCAATCTTTTATTTCTTGATATTGCCTTAACTTTCTTCTCATATGAAAGTTCTATGACTACACTATTGAGTCCCTCTTTTTTGTTTTAATGTTGTCACCTTTTACATATTGATGTCTCTGTTTCCATATTTTCAGTGTTTTAGCTTTGACTTATTTTTGTGACTTCCCTGTCTGGGCTGATATCTGATAGTTCTGAAATGTGTTCTAGCCTTGGGTTGTTATATGATATTATTGATTCTCTAGCCTAAGGACTCCCTTTAGTATTTCTGGTAATTTTGTTTTGGTTTTTGCAAATTCCCTTAACTTATGTTTATCTGGAAATGCTGTAATTTCACCTTCATATTAGACAGTTTTGCTGGATATATAATTCTTAGCTGCCAACTTTTTTCCTTCAAGGCTTTATATATGTCATCCCATTGCCTTCTTGCCTGCATGGTTTCTGCTGAGTAGTCAGAGTTTAGACTTACTGACTATCCTTTGTAGGTGACTTTTGGTTTATCCCTAACCACTCTTAAAATTCTCTCTTTATCTTTGGTTTTGGTAAATTTGATTATAATATGTCTTGATGACTTTCTTTTGGGATCT